TACGCGTTCGCAAATTAAAATTCCGATGATTGATCAATGAAATCACGATGTATCTATTTAAAATATTCTAATCAAGTTCCTCTTCTATAACAGATGCAACGAATATTGAAACAATCTACATATTCTTAAAAACAAATTATGAAGTGCATCGTTTTGCGTCCCATTAAAAACATCTCCATGCTACATCGTATTGCCGCATTATCACCATATCAAAGAAGACGCGTAAGTACTGCATGTGATCAATCATATTTTCACTGTATACACGAGTCCCACAACGGCCTTTAAACCGTGCAATGCATCGCTCTCTATGTTACGGATTGCACCGAGGTTACCGTGAGCAGCATACGCGTAAGTTGTGACCTCGGTCATTTATATTGAGGTTTAAAAGATCGTGTATACACAATAAAATCCGCGGTAAGCCCATTCTGCTCTGCGATTTAGCCTAAGACGCAGATACATACACTGATAAATAGCCTAGCAGCAGGAGACAGCAGTGAACCAAGGGTCGCTCTGTAGCCGTTAGCAGGCGTATTGATCGAGCCAGGCAGAGACCGCGGGTCGCCAGGGGAAGGGAAAGTCGCCAGCTATAATAATTCGTGAAGTGTCTTAGGCTATAACTCGTCCCATCTTTCATCCTTTTACTGCGACTCGTGACCTTTGCGAGCAGCGATTCCCGGAACGCCGTGCGATGGGAAATGGCAAAAGGCGAACTTTTGCTATCGTCATTATGAAATTCCCATGCGATATGTCGTATTAGATGGAGCCACTTGCCGCTACGGGCACAGGCACAATGAAATTTCTATAGTTGATGATATTGCTCGTTGGTTAACAGTTCGTTCTTAGGTTGTATGAGCGACTAATCACTATTAAGTTTAAATCTAAACTCAGTTAATATCGTTCTTACATGTTTTGGTTAATTTTCTTTTAGAGTGTACCTATTAAAATCTTTCTAATATTTTATTTAAAAATTTATTTGTAAAATTCACATCTTGTGCAGTTTATAGAAATTAGTGATGCTTTCTAGTGCCTTCCTGTGAATCTCATACCATTTTTCTATATAAAGATCATAAAAGATTATAACTTTTTAGCATCGAAATGCATATTCCAGTAAAGTGAACTTAATTTATCTCTAACTTTAACTTTAAATTTTGGAGTTAATATTTTTCTGCCTCTTTCATGCTTGTAGGCATATCATTTCAAACAGCGTTTCTGCTTGCGAGATAAATATGCAACATGTTTTTCATTATTCATCTTAATCATACTCTCAAATTCTGCTGAATGCAATCATTCATGTCAACCTTTGTGTATTTCAAAGCAGCGGGTTTACCGTCAAAAGATTCCATACTAAATATGATTTAATAACCGTAACGCTTAATTAAATACGCGCTCTTCCCAGAAAACTATATATCCGTAGTCTGCCATCTAAAATCTGGGACCACCCATGGGAACAGCAGCTGCTGGTCACTTTATATCCAATATTATTCTATTAAGTAAGCACAGGGAAGGAGAAAAGGCTCAACTGATGAAAGAGTAGACTGTTGTTGTAATCCTTGTCGTTCGACAACCTGCCTTGCTAACATGCGATTCCATTGCTGCTGTTATAACGTATAATAAGACAACTATATTCTCTATTTCTATACTACAAACATCGCTGTTATAAACACATCCATCAGTAGGCTGACGGGTGTTCTAGTTAATACAAAGAGAAATTACGCTTAAACAACATTGGCAATATCACGGAATACCCATAATGACTTTATTCGAATTACCACGCGGCAATGGTCCACGTGTTAGTTAAGACCGTATAACGAAACAATTGGCAAGATTAGAAGTTATTTAAAAGAAACAATTTGAAAGAAATATTTTGCGAAGAAAATATTGCGATCAACGATTTCATCCCGCAGCGACCGAGACGTGACAACGCATCGGGTATTCATTAGGGCTGAACGATTTAGAATAATGCGTACATTTACGCTTAAGAAGTTGGCTATAAGCTCGTACTTAATTATACCTGTCTTGTCGCGTGTGGAACAAACTGTGAGGCAAACATGTATGTGTAACCTTGGCAGACGAACAAAGTCTACTGAAAAAGAAGCTAGCCGATATATAGAGTGTGCGAAGTATTGCAGTCTAACACAGCCTTGTTCGAATACAACAAACGACAAAACCATGAGTCATAGTTGTCTTGGTTAAAGTCACTGTTATTTTCAGTCGATAAATTATCACACAAGTTGAATAAAGGAGTTATAATATAGACTGTGTATCATATCTATTCTCACAATTAAATGTTCGCATTAATAAATCTCCTGATACTGTCGCAGCGGATGCCATTTTTCAGCTGTCAACTTTCCACCAAAGATAATATCTATTCATAGGGGCATTAAGATAATATGATACCTTTCAATTTAGATTTATATTACGTGAGAAATATCTTGTGTTAGATGCGTTATGCATTTCTTGTCATCTAAAAGTCTTGATTCTGTTTTATATGGTAAGAATTATTGTCGTAACTATTTTTTCGTTCGGTTACGGTTAAATGCTGTGAAATGAACAGACAACCTAAGCCAGCTACGTGTGTGTCATTCGGATAGTTAATTGGTTAAGTATAAAGTAAAATATGATCGCTGTCCAATCATAATAAAAATTTATTGTAGATTTCATGTTTGTAGAAATAATTTTTTTGCACATAACCAAAGCAAGTAAATTTGGTATACAACAATTCCCCGCCTCATGTAAGTCAT